AGGGCCTTTACCTTTACCTTTACCTTTATGATACTCAGTATATCTAAGAGCTTAATGCATTGACACCAGAGCTACAATTTGTGTTAAAGACACTTTATGTATTGCCTTTTTGGGTCATACCCAGCAATTGCTCAGGAGTTACTCCTGGCTCTGCACTCAGGAATTGCTCCTGGTGGTACTAGGGGGACTTCATGGGAGGCCAGGAATCAAACCCAGGTCTGCTGTGTGCAAGGCAAACGCCCTCCCCGCTGTTCTATTGTTCTGGCCCCTAAAGACACTTTAAACTACCAGTAAATCGTAACAGCAAAACTGCAACAAGTACCACTGATGAGAATCTGACTAGTTCCATCAAATCTTAAATAGAATTTCTGGCAGGTTTAAGTCCATCATAAAACCCAACCGAGAATGTATCAGGCAAGTAACTCAAAATCGATGGTGGAGGGGGTGGTGCTGAAATTTTTATGTATGAAACCAGACCAACAGCAGTTTGGTAAATCACACCACTTCTAAAAAATGTGAAAAAATATAAATTTTAAAAAAGAACTAAAAAAAAAAATTCTTAGACCACAGTAGTCATTGTAATTATAGGTCCTTTATCCAGTGCTTGCAAGCCATGTTCTCTCAGCCAGCACTTTGAAATGTGTTGAGCTCAAGTGCACTCAGGATTACACCTCGTGCCAAACACCTGGAGGGAAGTTATTTTAACCTGCGAGTTAAATGCAGAGTCGAAAGCTGTTAGTGACCTATTGAGGGAGGACTCACCCGTTTCTCAAAACTGTGCTTAATAAAAACACAATCACCTCTCAGGCAGCAATCACACCACACCAGGTGGATGTTGAGGGAGTGTTTGTCCATGGAGCCAAGAGTTCCCTTGGATAGCAATTTGGGTGCAGTTGCAATATGAAATAACCAGAAATTCTCTGCCGTGGAAACGACAGAAAATATTCAAGCCTAGAGAAATATTTATGTATTCTGTGGACATTTAAAGAGCTCCGACTTAGTACAGCAAGCAGCAAAGTGCACACTGTTTTTTTAAAATAATGTAAATTCTGACATATGTGGCAGACTGAAGTACATGCTGTTCTCAATTCTTTCTGCCCATGAAATAGCAGTTTATACCTACACCCTTGCTGTGGCCTCAACACAGCCAAAGTCTATGCATCCGCCCCGTGACTCTCGACTTAGTTATGTGATTTGCTTCGATATTAAGTAGCAGATAAACAGTTATGACTCAAGCAAAAGTTTTAAATGTGTGTGACTGAGCTAACTCCTCCTGGAGTGATAGCACAGTGGTGGGGCGTTTGCCTTGTGCGCAGCCAACCCAGCCAAGCCGGGTTCGATTCCTCCTCCCCTCTTGGAGAGCCCCGCAAGCTACCGAGAACATCTCGCCAGCATGGCAAAGCCTGGCAAGCTACACATGACGTGTTCGATATGCCAAACACAGTAACAACAAAGTCTCATGATGGACACATTATTGGGCCTGCTCGAGCAAATCAATGAACAACGGTAGGACAGGACAGCCAAAAAATTATACCCCAGACAGACACTGGTTCAAGGAGGACGAGAAACAACTGGGGCAGTCTGGGCCCCTCAAAGAGCACAGAAGCTGTGGGCACACATTCTTTTCTTGCTCTATTTTACTGTTAATGTTTTATATCAACTATTTCTCAACTGGGAGACATATCAGCCCCTCCTGACTCCAGGATATTCTAAGGGGGCCACAGGTGAGGGTTTACAGCAGAGACTAAGGGGCCAATTGGTAGGCTAGGAGGTGCACATAAGAGGGATGTAAGATCAGAAAGGAGCCACAATCAGGAAGAGGTTGAGAAATGTTGTTTTGGACCATTTTCTCATCTGTAAGATTTATGGTTAAAGAACTCAATGGCTTACCAAAAGCCAAGAAGCAGGAGCGTTGAGTCCTGATGCCAAATTTTTAATCCGAATTACTTAGAATTGCTGGTACAAGGTGACAAAAAAGAAAACTGAACTGTAGTTGGCTTTATTATTATTTTTAAATTCTCTCTATGCAATCTATCCCCTTGTTACTGGCATGGGAGACACACGGCCTCCTTTCCCCATCCCATTCCATCCCTCGTGAGCCACCAAAATAACTCACTTATTGGGACATGGAACTCCAAAAATGGAAACCTCAAAAATAATTTACACAAAGTACCCAATATATATATATGTGTGTGTGTGTGTGTGTATATATATATATATGCATGTGTGTATGTGTGTATGTGTGTATGCATACCTATATATAGTGTAGGAGTTATCTTGTGACTATCAAAAGCTTAATTGCAACGGAAAACATTACAATCTTTAAGATGAATTACAACCAAACGCCTTCATAATAGAAAATTAGCTCAAAAAGAAAGCTATTCAATGAACTTGATTCTTATTTACTCTATAAAAATCACTCAGCCCCAGATTCCACTTTAATCTATTTTACTATTTATTTATTCATTAGTAATATAAATAACCATGTCAAGGTCAGAGGAGCAACTGAAAATAAGAGTACAAAGGCTCCTGGGTTATCTTTCGGTCAATTATTTTAGGTAGTAAATATCTTAAAGATAGGAAGTCTTGTCCACAAAGTTTCTTTTTCTAATTGTTTATAAGAAGCTATCATATTTCAAGAAAAAATTTAATAACTAAAAAAAAAGCAGCTATTATTTGATTTCTTTTTCAAGTTAGAGTACATACAAAGGGCTTTTCAAAAAACATTTGCACAGGGCTGGAGAAATATCACAGCGGGGAGGGCATTTGCCTTGCATGTGGCCAATCTGGGTTCGATTCCCAGCATCCCATATGGTCTCCTGAGCACTGCCAGGAGTAACTCCTGAGTGCAGAGCCAGGAGTAACCCCTGTGCATCGCCAGGTGTGACCCAAAAAGCAAAAAAAAAAAAACCCATTTGCACAAATGAAGGATCTTTTCAAGTTCTGAAGCTGTTGTTCTCTGGTGTGTTGGTTGTGGGTTTGGACACGAAGGCCCCCAGGACAGTGGTGGCGGGGTCCTGGCGCGCTGGTGCTGAGTGTGATGCAGTGACACCACAGGCCTGAACCATGAATAGTGATACTAAACTATAATGATTCCAACAGACGAATATTCAGAACTACATGAACTGTAAGCTGCAGCCAAGATGAAATTCTTCAGTACTGTGTAATCTATAGCTATTGTGCATATATAGTATATAAAGTTATACATGACAATATAGACTCCTTCTTATATATATCACTGCTGCCTTTGTCTTTACATAATTAACAAACCCTAAGCCATAGGTATAAAAGTATAAAATCTCTGGAAATATTTAAGTGCCTATCCCAGGGTATTTTAAAAACCTTACTTTTATTAAGGGAAGTTTACTTTTTAAAGTAAATTTTACCTTATTATTTACACCATATAAAAATACCATGGGTCAAAGATTTTAACATAAACCCCGTTTACACAACTTCTAGAAGAAAACACCAGCAGAGAGCTTCTTGACACTGGCCTTAGAGGGGATAATCTGTAATTTACACCAGATAGCAAAGGTCATAAAAGCAAAAGCAAAGAAGTGGAATTAAGTGAGGCTGAAAAAGTCAAAGGAAACATCAGAAAGAAGCAGCAGCAACTTGACAAAGGGGAGAAAATATTTGGAAATTATATATCTGATAAGGGGTTAATACCTCAAATATATTAATTGGGTAGTTTTTAATATTAATTATATTATATTATAGCATAATTACAATACAATAAAATATATTATAAAATATACTTTCACTTAATTGTTTTAATATGAATTAGTTATATTTTTATAATTATTTTATAATATAGTTAACTTAACAAAATGTATTACTATTTTGTTATTTATATAATTCAATAGCAAAACCTAAACAACCCAAGTAATACATGGGACAGATGGTCTGAATAAACATTTCTTCAATGAAGGCAAACAGCTGGCTGAGAGGTACAGGATAAGGTGCAAAACCTCAACAGTCATCAGGGAAACGAAAATCGAAACCCTCTGAGGTATCACCTCACTACTGTCAGAGTGACTATTACTGGGAAAGAAAACAAGAAATAATATGTGTTAACAAGCATGTGGAGAAAAGGGAACTCTTTCCTCCACCACTGGTGCAGCCTCCTGAAAAACTGATGATTTCTCAAAAAGTCTAAAAGAGGGAGCTGGGACGCAGCTCAGTGACAGCGCACAGGCCTTGCACGTGGCGAGGTCCTGGGTCTGACCTTCAGCATCAAACACACAAAAAAATAGTAAAAAGAGAACCACAATAGGACCCTGCAATTTCACTTCAGCATATTTATACGTATTTATACATATTAAAACAAAAACACTAAGAGAAAAGATCCCTGCACCCCACCAAGAAATATGCCCAATGATCAGGACATGGAAGCACTGTCCATTTCTATGGATAAAAGAAAATAAAAAACAACGTGGTATACAGTATATGATGGAACATTATCCATCCGCATAAATGGAAATTTAGTCATCTGCAACCACACGGTGAGACCTTGCAGCTTAAAGCTAAGTGAGGTCAGATAAAGACAAATGATCTTATATGTGGAATATCTCAAATGTTTTTTATTTTTTATATTTTCAACCCTCACCCCGCAAAAAAAAAAAATCAACAAGCCAACCCACCTGAACCCATGGAGTACAGACAAATGGTTCCCAGAGCAGGGAAAGGGAGTTGGAATAAAAGAAGGGGCTATAAAAAAAATACAAAGCAATAGTCCAACAGGGAGGGCATTTGCCTTGTACCTGGCAGACCCAGGTTCAATCCCTGGCATCCCATACGTCCTGCCAATCACCACCAGGAATAACTCCTGAGCACTGCCAGTGTGGCCCCCAACTGTGCTCCCCTGCCCACATACACACTGAAAAACAAAAAACATACACACCAAGGTTTCCGCCACAGAATATACTAGTCGTGGGGATGCCACAGGCCACCTGTGGACTTACAATAATACTGGATGTAAAAAATAAAATTTCACATACCTGATGTTCCAAAAACTAGATCCCAAGGGGAACTAATGGGCTGCTGCTGTCCACTGCCTCCACCTTCTTTATCTGTCCCTTGGATTCCAATGCCAGCTACTGTGCTTACCGTCTCGGTCTCCAGGTCAATCTGAAAAAACATGTTCCATGTTACTTCATACTTTTCCTTTTGGAACAGCAAGATTTCTAGCAAGATATATAAAGAGTATCTGCAACATCAATGCTTTGTGTAGGGCGTGCACAAGACTCAGGTGTTTCACTTCCCCACCTGTCCACTCTGCCTGGTTCCTCTTACCGTGCCCTCCTGGTGCCCGTTAGGACTGATCCCACCTTAACCGCAAAAATCCCTCACAAACGTACACATCTGTGTAGCCCCACTGGTATTAAGATACGGAAACTTTCATCCCATGAAATTCCCACACCTCCATCCTGTCATTACTGGCCCCAGTGGAAAACGCTACTTTTCTCCCTATCACAGATAAGTTTGATCTCTCCTGATTTCTGATGAATAATCATACAGTACGGAATCCTGTGTGAGGCTTCTGTCCTTAAACCTTCCTGAGATCTGACTGTGTGTCAGCAATTTCTTTCTCCCTGGCTGAACAGCCAATATTTTTTTTTCTTCTTATATTTATTTATTGAATTATTGTGGGAAGTTACTAAGCTTTCAGGTTTAAGTCTCGGTCACACAACGATCAACACTTCTCCCTTCACCACCACTCATTTTTCACCACCAAGAACCCCAATATATGCCCCCTCGCAATGCCTGTGAGGCAGATGATTTCCACTTTACTGTTCTCTACATTGATTACATTCATTATTTCAACAAAAGATGCACCATTAATGTTTAGAATTTACCCAACAATCAGAATTGCTGAAAAGGCATTGTGAAATACTTTGTTTTCTATAGCTGGTTATGAGAATCATATAATCTCGCATGGCTGCAATAGCGGCCTCGCGATTTTGGATTTCTGCAAAGAGCCAGGTAATTACAAGATTGGTTTCTGTGCGTCTGGTGTTATGGCTTGAACAGCCAATATTCTTTCATAGGGATATACCGCCGTTGATTTGTGCATTTTCCTATTGATGGGATCTGAGCTGTTTCCAGTTTGGGGCCTTTAAAAATAAGAGTTGTACCCAAAAGGAGAGAGAGAACACAGGGGATTGCCCTGCCACAGAGACAGGGGGGATGAGGGGATGGGGGTGGGAGGGATATTATCCATGGTGGTGGAAAATGGGCACTGGTGGAGGGATGGGTATCTGATCATTGTATAATTGAAACCAAAGCACAAAAAATTGTAAATCTACAACTTTAAAAAAAAATAAAATAAAGGGAAAAAAAATAAGAGTTGCTAGCCATATTCTTGTCAAAGCCTTGCTGCCAACATGTTTTCATTTCTACACCTGTAGGGCTCTAATAGCTATGCTATAGGGTGGGTATCTAGTTAGTTTGATGAGAAACTTGCCAGATTTTCTCCAGTGCTCTATCTATCATTGCTTTATCACCACTGACAATGCATTATTGTTCAGACTGCTCCATAAACTGGTACTATCTCCAGTCTTCAACCATTATAAACACATTTCCCTGTAGCCTTCAATTACATTTCCTTTGAAACTCATGATCGCGTTTTTATGTGCTTGTGATAGTTCTCTTGAAAGATGCTCAAAGCCTTTGGTCCATTTTTTAGTAGTGGAAACCTTTCATTTGTAAGCTTATCAATCAGTTGTCAGATAGGATTTGTGAATTTTTGTGGCTGTTTCCTGACAGCCTGTGGTTTGCTTGTCTTTTCATTTTCTTAACAGCAAATATTGACGATTCTGACTTTATTTGTGATTTATGATTATTAACATGCCCTTTTCTGTTTGTTTTTGAGCCACACAGGCAGTGCTTGAAGGATTCTCCTGGGGTCACTCACCAGAGGTGGACCATGTGATACCAGCGAGTTCTCTTCCTGGCCCTTCCTTAAGAAACCTTTGTGCTTCCCCACAAGTCACAGAAGTATTGTCATTTGTTTTCTTCTAAAAGCTTTATGGTCACGGCCAGAGCGGTAGTATAAATATAAATATAAAATATAAATATAAAAATATAAATAAAAACTTTATGGTTTTTTAAAATAAAAATATTGAAAATAATGGGGCTGGAGTGATAGCACAGCAGGTAGGGAGTTTGCCTTGCATGTGGCTGACCTGGGTTTGAATCCCGGATCCCATATGGTCCCCCGAGCACCACCAGGAGTAATTCCTGAGTGCAGAGCCAGGAGTAACCCCTGAGCATCGCCGGGAGTGACCCAAAAAGAAAAAAAATTAAAATGAAATTTATGATTTGAGCATTCACATTTTAGTCAGTCTTGAACTGATACTTATGTGTTCTGTGAAGTTGGAATGATACTTTCCTCTCGCCTCTCAACTAACTTAGCTCATTGTTTAAATATTATTTGCTAAAATAACTTCCCTTCTTCCTTGATTGCACTAATGCTGTTTTGAAAGTCAGATAGCTATCGATAAAAGGTTATCTCCAGATGATTTGTTATTTTTTACTGGTTATTCTTCTATCCTTATTTTAAAAATGTTACTTTTTTGAACAATATAGCATTATAGAATCTTAAAATCAATAAGTCTTTTAATTTTGTTTTCAAAACTTTTTTATGCTTTTTTTGCATCAAGATAAATAGAAACAGCATGAACTTTCTTAAAACACTGTAATTAGCTTATTTAGATTCTTCTGGTCTCTCTCTCTCTCTCTCTCTCTATATATATATATATATATATATCAAAGAAAGTCTGATTAAATTGTAGTGAATCAAGAAATAAATTTGGAGAGAACTGATACATCATAATATTGAGTTTTCCAGTTTCAACATTAGATCAAATTTTCGCATCAGTGTTCTACAGTTTCATACAGGTCTTGTGTACATTTTGCTAGATCTATTCCAAGTGCTTTATGTGTTTTGTAAACAGAATTCTAATTCCAATGAAAAATTCCTATTTCAAGTTGACCGCTATTAGTACATTAAAATGCAAGCGAGTTTTTAATATTGATTTTGTGTTCTGCAACCTTCCTAAATTCACTCACTAGTTCAAGTAGTTTTTTTTTTCCCCATAGATTTCTTAGTATCCTATGTACATGACACATGATTGGTAATAGTTATTCCACTATCTTTCAGCCTGCATGACACCTATTTCTCTTTCTTGCCTTAATTACAACAGTTAGGACATCAGTACAATGTTGAATAGGCAAGTGCTGGAGAGAACCCTCACTTGTCCCTAGTCTTCAAGGAACAGTAGTCAATATTTTATATTAAGTGTAGCTGTCGACATTTTGCTGACATCCTTTGTTAAATTGAAGACATCTGCTCTATTTCAAGCCTACTCATCTTATCGTGAATAGGTATTAATATTTTCAAACGCTTTTCAGAGTCTAGTGAAGATTATGTACTCTTTTACTATTACTATGATGAATTACATTGATTTCAGCAATATCCTCTTTGCATTTTTAAGAAACTACTGATATAAAGAACACTCAACAATGTAAACTTTTTTTTTGCTATTATTCCTAATTGTTGTTATCAGAGGCTGATAAGCAGGGCAGAATGGGAGGCTACCATGTTTTCTACTTTGTATTTTTTCCTTGGGCTGGAGCGATAGCACAGCGGGTAAGGGCGTTTGCCTTACACGCAGCCCACATGGCCGACCCGAGTTCGATTCCTCCACCCCTCTCAGAGAGCCCAGCAAGCTACCGAGAGTATCTCGCCTGCACGGCAAAGCCTGGCAAGCTCCCCGTGACGTATTCGATATACCAAACACAGTAATAAATCTTACAATGTTACTAGGCCTGCTCGAGCAAATTGATGGACAATGGGAGGACAGTGACAGTGATTTTTTCCTTTGTTTCATGGTACCAAGGTCAAACCTCAGGGTTTCATTCAAGTCAGGCATGAGTTCTACCACTTAGCTATATTCCTTGGCCCTTATTTTCACGGAACTGAGTTTGCAAGAAACAATAGCAAAAACTAGAGATGGGAGTTCCTTGAAAGAGAGCTCCATTAAGAAATGTATTACAGGGCCTGGAGTGATAGCACAGCGGGTAGGGCATTTGCCTTGTATGCGGGCCCACCTGAGTTTGATTCCCAGCATCCCATATGGTCCCCTGAGCACCGCCAGGAGTAATTCCTGAGTGCATGAGCCAGGAGTAACCCCTGTGTATCGCTGGGTGTGACCCAGAAAGCAAAAAAAAAAAAATGTATTACAAAAACTGGTATTACTGAGAATTCCTTTTGCAAAAAAACCCATGGCCCAGGCAATATCACCAGGGAGTTTGAATGAAAAGTCAAACATTCATTTCTATTCCAAAACACAGAAAAAGAATGAAAACAAACTAGCTCATGTGATGAGGTTCGCGTGACCTTGATTATGAAATCAGGTGAAAAGAGCACAAGAAAATAAGAGTGTTTCAATTTATGAAGATATATTTTTAAATTTATTTCTTTACTAAGGATAATACTGACCCCCTGTGTTTCCTGAGTATTGTCTCAGGCTTCTGCAAAGGGATGTCACCACTCCAGATCCACCCACCAAAGTACTAATATCACTCCCTTCCATCCACTGGTCCCCTCCCCCCTTCCCTCCAGTAACTTCAGTTGTGCTGTCAGAATCCGTGGATTTGTTTTGGGTTGTCAGCCCCCTTTGCTTTGTTTCTCTTTCCATTTCTTCCCCCCACCCTTTTGCAGTGCCAGGTGTTCAAACCCAGGGCCTCACATGAAAGGCAACTGTGCACATACTGGTGTATAATTTGCTTCTGGGTAAGAGATAAAAGAGAAATCATTCAGTGTTTGTCTTTCTCCTCAATTATTTTGCTGAGCACAATCCCTAGAGTTGCATCCATGGGTGGCAAATAACAGGATGCAATCCTTTATTATAACTAAATAGTATTCCATCGTGTGTGTGTGTGTGTGTGTGTGTGTGTGTGTGTATGTGTGTGGTCTTCTCTTTCTGCTTATACACTGCTAGACATTTGGACTGCTGCCAAGTATTGACTGTTGTAAATAGAATTGCAACGAGTTCATAGATTTTTTCCTTTCCAAAATCAAATTTCTGATTTAATAATAAACCAACTCATCAATTACAACTCAG